AGTACTAATAATAATAATAATAACTCTCCCGTGGTCACCACCTGGTCGTGGTGGGAGAGCCCAGTAATTTTACTGAACCATAGAGCAATGCAAGCTGGAGCACAAGCTCCTGGTAGGGACACCCATGCCAGTAAGGTCTATGGAAACAAATGAAGCTAAGAGTGACCACACCCACATTCTGTGGAGTTAATTATCATGGTAGTAACCAGATCAAAGTGTGATACTAGCTCGGATGTCGCCCGGGTTAACAAGGTCCACGTTCATGGGTTAGGCAGAGGCTCACGTTCGAAAAATAGGCAGCAGTCTTCCTCGGTTACCAGTGGCGAAAGCAGCATCAGCCCAAGCATGGCTACTGCAATGCCCTCAACAGATGTGAGGAATCAACCTAGCCTTGGTGTTTCTGTGGCAATGCATCCACAGACCACAAAGGCTAGAAAACCACGCCAACGGATGAAATGGACTACAGAAACGAACAAGTTTATCATCTGTACTTACTACACCATCACAAGACTCGAAACAAACATGACAGCATACAGACAACAACTAACCATAGATTCACACAACAATATCCTCACCTCACTGTCACCGAACAAAGGGTTGTTCATCAAAAAAAAAAACAATTATACACAACAACCTTATCCCACAAACAACACTTGAACTTATCAAACAACAGGTTGCTGATCAAATACATCAACAGACAGAAACATGTAACATTAATGAAGATCACATAACCTGTCAGGATAATCCAGCAACAAGCATTGATAATAGTACAGATACAACAACTACCATTAATGATACTACAGACACTTCCTCATCCATCACTGATAACATAGACATAGAATTAGTTAATACACTCTCAGTTATATTTCAGGAAACACTCACTAAATATACAGGTACAGATCCCACACACAGACTACGAATACCGAAAATCAACATTTCAAAGGTAGTAGGAAAAACACTAAATTATGTAAACACTCATTACCACATTACATCCATTCAATTTCTACACTCTCAGACATTCATACATTAGTTTATGCTGGGGCAGTCACAGTAGTAACACACCATGGACTGAAAATACAATCGCAGACAGATACACTACATAATCAAGTAGCAAATATAATACACCAAGAACTTGCAAACAAACACAAATTATTAGACATGCACGAACCATACTACAAATACATTCCACAGACAGTACTGGAAAACAACACGCACAAACTGTACTATGACAGAGCCATAATCACAGATAAAACAATTTACCACAACAGACCAGACATCACACTCATTGACAAACACAATAAAATCACATACATTATACACATATCCATTCCAAACACTCACAATATACAAAACACATTCACTGAAAAAAATTAGTAAGTACACAGAACTCGCCCAGGAAATAAGGCATATGTGGAGGATGGATAGAGTGCTTATTGTACCTGTTGTTCTCTCCTGTACAGGTGTGATACCACACACACTACACAAAAGCCTGGGAACATTAGAATTGAGTAGAAATACATACATAACACTACAGAAGGCCACTATATTGAATACATGCCACATTGTTAGGAAATTCCTGAATACAGACACAGACACACTTATTTAATTTTAGTTCTTGGTTGCTATGCCTTGACTCTGGTCCGGCATAGTACACAGCCACTGGTGTGAACCGAGTAAAACCCACTAAACCCAACATGATAAAGTTAGTCAAAAACTCTATAGAATTGTTACTCTTTTCTTTTGCAAAAATTGTTGCATTTCTTAAATAATTTTTCAGGTAAAACTGCTTGACTGTCATCATAAAGAAATTTTTGCATCTTTGGATGTTAAAAAGATCCTCTTGTTAAAGATCATCCATGGCATTGTATTCAACTTCAATTTCATATCCATTACATTAAATTACAATTTTATATCCAATATTTTACATCAAATTTAAAATTGTATATGCTATCCTATAATGATATATGCTTAAATTAGTGTACTACTTCTTTAAAAATTTTTACATTATCAGTTTAATGTTCTGCTGCAAATTATACAGTACACTTATTTTAATTATCTATTTGATTTAGTTAGAATACTGTATTTCAAATTACGTACAGTACTAATAATTATTGATTTATTCATAAAATATTTTATTTCGTGTGCTGGTATGCAACAATTTTTGGAGGAAAATTTGTACGTAAAATTTGTTTTGAAAATTTTGAGTTCTGTTTATAGACCATACCCATAGAAGTGAAAAAGGCTGAGGAACTGATGCTCTAAATGCAACACTTTGTGAGATATATTCCCTCAAATCCAATATTTGTTAAACACACAATAAGCTTAGACTGTACAGTGTGACTCTGATTACTAGACAGTGGATTTTAGGCAAATGCCTATTTTTTTCTTGGCATATACATGGCTAAGATTTTGTATGAACATTTTTCATGAACATTTAGACCAAACCAATGGTATTTTATAATGCCTAACAATGCTTATTTTGACATTGCTGCCTATTTTTGCCTAAAACACAAAGTTTAGTCTGTTTACATATTTTTAAACAGTTTTTAATTTTTTGTTTCATTCTTAAATTAAACTGCTTAAGTTTCATTTTTTTTCCTGAAAATGCAATCAGAGAGATTCATTTTTTTTTAATTATTATTGATTACTTAAAGTCCCAGTGGATGTATATCCCAAGCAGAAAAAATTAGAATGAAATAATAACGAAAATAAATTACACCCCCTGATGCAATTTTATAGTAATAAAATTAAAACTATATGAAATATTTTAAAATAAATACTTTTATTTAATAAACATAGCATTAGAGATGCTTTATTTGTCATTTTTTAGACAGCAAATTTTAGGCAAATGCCTATTTTTCCCTTAGCATATATATGGCTAAGATTTTCTACTAACTACTACAGTGAACATTTCTTCAATATCAAAAAACTTCTGGCCACTTAGAGGACAATGCAGTTTGTGTAACTAATACCCCATTCGCACCGAGCATTTCGATCTAGATTGTGACTAAGATTGGAGAGTGTTTCATGGTGCAAACACTCTTGACCATTTCAATCTCGACTGAAACGAGGTTCAATTGCGATTGACTGGAGAGAGTTCTCAAAACTAGATCCAGTCATAAGAGAGATCCCACAATCCCACGCACGCGAGAAAATACAAGATGGCTGCGGAACACATGTCGGGCTATCGACAGAGAAATAAAAAAGACAGCTGGAGAGATAACGACATCTGTCTATTATTAGATGTACGGCAAGAAAAAGTATTTATTTCTAACCAAAACTTCCATTTTGTTTGTTGGTGTTTGTGACTTACCGCGTAGTTACGTCAGTTTTATGATTGCGTGTAATAGCCAGGTTCTTCTCGAGCAGACTGCCTGTGCAAACAACACGACATTCGACTAGCGGCAGTCACAATCCAGATTGTAGGTAAATCGAGATCGAAGTGAGTCGTGGATTGTGTGCGAATGTAGTATAAAGCCAAGAAAATTTATGTTCAGAACAAGTTGATGTACATCAAGTGTTATTTCACATTCATTGCAGATACTATTACTGCTCTTGAAAGTAGTGGAAAACTTATATATGAACAAATTGATCTCCTCAACAGAGCAAAGCAGAAACTTTGTGATGCACCAGGCACTGCTGCAAAAAAAGTGAAGAGAGAGTTGAAAGAAGTGCTTCAAGACTTGGATTAAAGTGCTCGTTTATTGTGGCTGATATTTTGGGAGGAAAGAAGAGCAAAACTGAAAGTGAATTCCCAGTTCATCTTCTTCCAAGGTTGACATATTGTCCATTATCTTCAGTAGATGTGTTCCACATTTACTGAAGATAATGGATTATATGCTCTTTCTCTGCATATAAATTAATTCTCAGTGACAAACATTGCAACTTTTCTATTGAAAATTTGGGAAAAGTGCTTGTAATATATCATGAAACTAACTATAGGAAACAGAGCAAATAAAAAATGTAAAGATAATTGTTTGTCTACTTTTGTGTTTGCATCATTCTGAATACGTGCATTTTTGTTTGGAATACATAAGTTAAATAAAAAATTCATCATCTTGATAAGTATGTTAATTGTTCATTGTGCAAATTTTGACCATCTATTTTTTTGTTTATAAAGCCTAAACGACACAATTTAAGAGCTTATTTTAAGCGCCTAAAATACCACTTTTAAGGGCCTATATATCCGCTGTCTACTGATTGCACTGCACTGACTCAGAGTTGTCAGTGCAGTGGTGTTTCTCAGGTTTTACAGGCTTTTAACTATCTTCAGTAAAATGGAAAACAGTTGCTTTTAGCATAGTTTTGAGAAATACTTCTGAATTTTTTCACTTTTAAATTTTACTCCATTTTTGAGGATCTTAAAAAATTCCAGATAAGCTGATTTCAGAGAAGGCTATACCTACGGGCATAGTCTTCAGCTCTGATAAGGTCCCAACAGCCTCATTCAGAGCTGTAATTTTGCCAGTTTTAATATACTTTACCAGCTATATATATATATATTAATAATGAATATATTTTAATATTTATTTACCTTCATACCAGCTTCTTTAATTTTTCTAATTAATTCTAATGGTTCTTCTGTGGCTTCTAAATGAAAAGTATATTGGCTAGCACCAGCATCTGCCATGGGTTCTATCCACTAAAAACAAAACATTTATTTATATAAAGAAAAAATAAAGTAAATTCTTCAAAATATATTTAGTTATATATTTGGAAAAAGGAGATTATAACTAACTTGCTGAGGATTGGCTACCATCATATGCAAGTCGAAAAACGCGTTTGGAATTTTTCTACGTAAACATTTAACAACAGGATGCCCAAAGGTAATATTAGGTACAAAATGTCCATCCATAACATCTAAATGTAGATAATCTGCTCCACTTTCTAACATACGTTGAGATTCGGCGTAAATCTCCGATAAATCCGCATTCAGAATCGAAGGACCAACTTTACACACTACACCACCGGTAGCCGCCATCTTAGAAATTGACGATAAAGTTGCCAACTCTAATCTTAAAATTACGCAGCTAATTACGGTGTTTATTTTAAAATTATCAACCTATCGTCTTACTTAGTGCTTCTAAGTGATAAGCAGCTAAGTGAGCGAACCAATAGCATAGTCCGTTTCATGTGAAACTGCATATGCTATTGGTTTGCTTACATAGCTGCTTGCTACTTTTAAACTTTTTTGAATGCTAAACACGTCAATTGATTTCTAAAGCATATATCGCTTCATTTATATATAATGTAAATAATATATCTGTCATACTAGATAACAGATATGTTATCTCGTGGGTTAAAGTATATATATACAATATATGTTTTTTTATAAACACACATGAATATACTAAAATTGTGTTTATTTTATGTAGTATGTAAGAATAATTCATATAACTTCCACAAAAGTTCGATATGTTAGACCAGTGTTTTTCAACCTGTGGGTCGCGAAGCCTTACACGGGGGATCGCGGGTAGAAGAAAAAGACAAGTGTTTGTAGGTCCTACACTACATTAATAAAACTACAATTTCAGCGAGAATTACGGCCCACCCCAGAAAATGATAGCGGAAAAAGTGTTGAGTTGAGCTGTTTTGCAAAAGGAAATAAAAAGTAGAAAAGTAGAAGCTGAAAATTCAGATCTTAAAAAAAAAAGTCAACAGTTCCCTGTGCCTAATGTTATAATTAAAGGAAGTTTCATACTTTGTGTGTTAAATTATTGTCGATTCTTCTGAAATTTTCATTTTAATCAACAATAATTTGTCTCAACAGAAAGAAAATTAAATACATGGTTTTTAAAATCACTGATATAGGTTTAATATGGCCCTAGGGGGGTCGCCAGAATTTTTTAACTTGTAAAGGGGTCGCGTATTCAAGAAGGTTGAAAAACACTGTGTTAGACAATCGACTATTATGGCTGGATGATAAGATGTTAACCTATACCTCTTCCTCTTGCGAACTCGGGATCGAGCAAACCAGAAACTATTGTGGACGGTCTGTTCTGAATATGTGAGGTCATGTCCCTCACTACCCGACTAGCCCATTATGAGCCTGGCCGAATCCAAGATGAATCTGAGTAAAAGGCTTTCTCTTATTAAACATAATTAAACAGTTATTTTAGCTGAAATTTTTGAACTTGACTTCAATTCTTTAGATCAATTTCTAACAGGACTACAATAAAAGTTTTAAAAAAATTAGGTTAAACACTTGAATATTTTAAATCGTATAGGCATTTTTATTATTGTTTTAATATTCTGTATAACATGTTATATACAGTATTCTTACTAATCTATATCGGTGGCCGGATGACCGAGCGATCGAGGTGACAGCCTACTGCTTCTGGGATCCGGATGGGTCAAAAAATCCTCAGGAATTTTTCGGGAGGTAGTCAATCCGGATATGTCGGGCAACGTCCCTCACCACCCTGCCGCCCCATTGTGGGCATGGCCGAAGCCATAATGGGCTTGCTAAATGAGGCCCTCTTAGTGCCTACAGGGCGGAGTTTTAAAAAAAACTAACCTATATTTGCAATTTTATATATTTTATTATTATTTTATTTAAACGTAAACTAGCAAGTAGAAGAGTTTAAAAACTAAATAATCCCGATAAGTATGATGACATTATGAAAAAACATGTTTCACATCAGTTTATAGTAATGATTTACAGCAGATGTTTTAGTATATTTTTGCAATAAATCTAAGCACCACTATGTGTTAGTAAATGTATTATTATTACTAATTCCGTAAGCAGACATACTTATCTATAATATAATCGAGACGGGTTGATAACAATAATAATAAGTGCAGAGCCCAAACGGCTAGGAGTTGGAAGCTGAAATTTGTACACAGATAGGATACGTCACGAAAACGCACACTAAGAAGGGATTTTTCGAAATTCCTCCCGGGGGGGAAAAAGACAGGATTAAGGCTTAACACTTCCATCAACAATGGAAGTGTTAAGTAACAATGGCGGTGTTAGGTAACAATGGAAGTGTTAAGTAACAATGGAAGTTTTAAGTAACAATGGAAGTGTCAACAATGGAAATCTTACGTAACAATGGAATTGTTAAGAGAAAGCTACGTGCGATACGCAGATGCAGTTTTTTCGTTTTTGCGGGAAATCGAACATATTTTTAGACCCATCTAAAAATTCTCTAAGGGGACCCAATTCTTGCATTCTGTGAAAACGGGTAAGGTTGACTGTAACGTAATAATCTTTATCTTAGTTATCGTTACTTTTGCCCG